GGGCCTCCCGGCCCTGGCCCGCCGCATCCCTATGAGGGGTGTCTGTAAGGGAATTTCCCGGGCAGGGGTCCCCCGGCTGGGTTGAGGGGGCCGCAGCAGTAGGCTGGTCTCTTCGGGGGCGCTTCTTCTGGCTCCCAGCCTCAGGGAAGCCCTGAAGCCGCCTCACGCTGTGGTCTCGGTGGATCTTCGTGACGGCGTAGGGGATATTTGGGGAAGGAGTTGAAGTTTTAGTGCCTTGTGTCTCTGTGGGCCATTCTGTCAAGTGCTCGGTTTGGGCTTTATGTAACCTGAAAATGGGGGGGGCTCAAACCTCTAAAATATTTTCTACATTAAAAAAAAGACTCATGAGAAAGCTTGGTTGTGTGTTATGATAGTAAACATCCTGTGGTAATGATTAGTGTTGCTATAAGTAGACTTCCCATCTCTAAATATCTACTGGAGAATGTAACACTTGCCAGGCCCCGAGTGCTGAGTCTTCCTTGGGTTGGCATAGCACTAGATTTTTTGTGGAGAAACTTGGATGAAGGTGTTCAAGAAGTCAGATATGATAATTATGTCATCCTGGGAATGATCGTGCCTAATTATTATAGGATAATTTTAAACCCTGATCTGACCCTGATGTTTTTTAGATCTTGCATGACCCTTGATTTAGAATTAGATCACCATAGGGTCAGGCATCTGACCTGCTGGAGCATATTTTGGTGTTTGAGGAACTAGAGAGCAAATAGGCTGGGGGTCAAGATATTATGTGGTGATACAATTTTATCACAGGGTTGTAAGGCCTGAGGAATATAATTATTACTTGTAATTTTATGCTTTACTGGCACAACATCCTAGCATGCAATGGGATGTGTATTTTGTGAAGAGGCTGCAGGGGCAGCGTTAAGAAAGAAACTTGGAGATTTCAGTATGTGAAAGCAGTAAAAAAAAAGTGTCTCTCTGAAGAATTTACAGGACTTGATGCCCCCGGGCCCCAACGTACCACCACCATGTTGGGCACTGTGTCCATTCTCCAACAATTTGCGAATGGCTTGAAGAGTCGCAGTGAAGAGACAAGGGCAAAAGCTGCCAAGGACTTGCAGCATTATGTCACCATGGAGCTTCGCGAAGTGAGTGCTGCAAACGAAATAATTTATTCTTGTTTATTGTATGAGCAGAGGGCATTGACTGGATACTTTGAAGATGGAGATTTGGGGTATATGGAAGCTGGTCTTAGGAGGTGGGGCATAGCAGGGAGCATACCTTTGCCCCAGCATGCGGGAGGGGTGAGGTGGGTGGTCAAGCACCAGAGTAATTAAATATGACAGGTCTAGGGCACAAAGAAGACGTACTGCTTTGTGCCTGTAATGTATAGTTGATTTAATTGATTTCTGTTTAAGTGACCTGAGTAGCGTTGCTTTCATGGAGGTTTAGGGGGCAGGAAAGAAGGAAAGAATGCTAAAAGCTGATTTGAACTTTTTGCTTTTACAGATGAGTCAGGAAGAATCTACCAGGTTTTATGATCAGCTGAACCATCACATATTTGAGCTGGTCTCTAGCTCTGATGCAAATGAAAGGAAGGGTGGCATTCTGGCTATAGGTGAGTGAAAGTGTTCAATGCCTCATGTGAGTTTTCTCTTCATGTATCTGTCTTTAGGACAGAATTTCAAAAGGAATGAGCTTTTATAATTGGGGCCTTATTTCTGACTGCTCAGTATGCTGGGTGCATGCTAATTGCTGGGCTCCGAAAATCTGTTTGTAAGTGTCAGCATGGGAACTGCTGAGTGCTTAGAGTGGCTGAAAACCTGGTGCTTAATGGTCCCTGAGCTCTTCCCAGAGTCGAACATCAAATGTGAGTGCTGAGCACGTGAAAATTTTGTTCTTAAGCTCAGCTGAGAACAGTTTGTGCTATCATTTATATGTGGGCTGACTTTCTCAACTCTCTTCTGTCTGAGGAGATTGATTCTTGTTATTTAAATTTACCTGGCTCGATAATAGCAGCTTCCATCCCTGGGAGAGGCTCACAGAGCTTTCTACTTTGATTTTGATCAGTTGTTCCATCAGTTGCACTGGTTGTGCTTTTGCTGTGTTGTGGCAGAGCTGCCTGCATCTTGACTTTTAGGGAAATCAGCTTGTGTAAATACTTTGCCTTCCAAGCAAGTAGCCTGTACTGTAGCAGTTATTTCTTTGATAGCCAAATAGGAGGTGCTATGGCTTAGGCTCACAGACAAAAACATCCAATCCCAACGTGTTTGGAGACAGCAGAAGTCCCGTACCTAGAGAGAACTTTGTTGACAACATCTGATTTTAAGCTGACAGTATCACTTTAAAATTGTTTCTGTGAATTTAGTGCTGTTGAAAGGTGCCGGCTTGACAACCCTGGACACTGATGGCCTCTTTATCTACAGAGCAGGTACAACCCAGGCATCGGCAGTGAAAGCTTCTGCCACGCTGACACCTGTCAGTGTACCTCCACCCTGGCCAGGAGAGGCCATCTCTAGGGCTTAGGGGGAGAGCAATTTCCTCGGTCCATTCAGTCTTTGGATTCTCTGCTGAGGTGGACCAGCTGTAGCAGTTGCATGTGAATGGATGACTTTTTATTGGGAGTGGGTCTGATCCAAGGGTGGATTTTTTTTTTTGTTTTAAAACTAAAAATGGGGAAAATCTATGAAGCTACTGTGTGCATTTTCCTGCTCACTTAAGTTCAGACTCGAAAGAATGGTGGCCGTTTCCTATTGCTCCATTACATTTTTTTCCTGTGGATTTTCAGTTTAGGAGAAGCTGATGGGACTTTTTAAAAAGTAGCTAAGGGAATACTAACTCTCATTCAGGGATTACCTACTGTCTGTGTACTGACTCTTAGGGGGAACCTACAGCATTGCTCCCTTTCTCCACAGCGAGCCTTATTGGTGTTGAAGGAGGTAATTCCACCCGTATCGGCAGGTTTGCCAACTACCTGAGGAACCTCTTGCCATCCAATGACCCTGTTGTAATGGAGATGGCATCCAAGGCTATTGGGCGACTTGCAATGGCTGGTGACACCTTCACAGCTGAGTATGTGGAATTCGAGGTGAAACGAGCTCTGGAATGGCTGGGAGCTGACAGGAATGAAAGTCGAAGACATGCAGCTGTAAGTGATTTTTTTTTTGTATTTTTTTTTGTCTTGTCTTGGTATAGGATGGTTAGGATTAATTAACAGTGGTAGGAGGTGTACACAAAAGCTCTGATCTGGATCGGAGTGATTGCCAATACATGTCTGAGACTCTATGATATTCTTGTGGCAGATACAGTGCTGCTTCATTGCTTCTGCTTTAACCCAGTGACTAAAGAAGACTGAGACACCATTGCGCTAGGAGCTGTAGAAGTATGAAGCAGGAAACAGCTCAGCTTACAGACATTAACAATCTAAATAAATTATAATACAGTCTAGAAATTATCAGGTTTGTCTATGGGTGCTCATCCTCACAGATTGTTTCTGTTTCTCTCCCCATCTCTAGGTTCTTGTCCTGCGTGAGCTGGCAATCAGTGTGCCTACCTTCTTCTTCCAACAAGTGCAGCCATTCTTTGACAATATATTTGTGGCTGTGTGGGATCCCAAACAGGCCATCCGAGAGGGAGCTGTTTCTGCCTTAAGAGCCTGCCTTATTCTCACCACTCAGCGGGAGCCAAAAGAAATGCAGAAGCCCCAGTGGTACAGAGTAAGAAAATAACTTTATTTTGAAGCATCTTCTCACAATGCAATGCAAATGATCAAGTGCCAGTTTTCAGAAGAGTTGTCTAAGCTAAGAACCTATGTCGCCTTTGTCAGTATGTCTGATTGTCAGTAGAAAACTACTTCCCCTTGAAAGGATTGAAAATATAATGGCTGACAAAATGAGTAGTTCCTTTAGCCCACTGTAAAAGTAAGCAGGAGACTGATTTCCATCAAGAATCCGTTGCTCTATCTGCAGCTCATTTTCAGCTGTTGAGCCTGACCTAGTTTTACAGCCATGCAATCATCTTTCGTCATCTCTTATTAGCAGATGGTCTTACTAATGTAGGTAAAACATAAGTGAAAAAGGTAAAGATTCTTTTGTCTGAACCTTAGCTTTGCTGCCGTTGTCACATGAATTCAAGCTTTGTAATATCAAATAAGATTCAGACAGTGCAGTCAAATGTGAACTTGGATTGTTCATAGTCAAATAGTGATGCAGATACTGATAAAGTTTTTACCATGGCATGATTGACTGGCTGTTTAATTAGTCCTATGGAAAATGCTCTGCAGCAGGGTCCACAACTTCTGGGTGAATCTGAATTTTATGGTGTTATACTCTGTTATTACACAGTTAAGGTTTGTGGCTACTCATGGAAAATTACAGGGCATCAGTAATTCTTGACTGGTGGTACAACTTTTTTTCTACAGGCTTTGTTTCTGCATGATCACTTAGATTTATTTTTTTTCTTTCTCCCCAAGCATACATATGAAGAGGCTGAGAAGGGCTTTGATGAGACTTTGGCCAAAGAGAAAGGAATGAACCGTGATGACCGAATCCATGGTGCCTTACTGATCCTCAATGAGCTCGTGAGAATCAGCAGTATGGAGGGAGAGGTGAGCAAATGAACAAGACAGGGATTATTTTGGTTGCCACATTGATTTGACAGTGTATGGCAACTCAGCAATGTGTGGAAATAGCCTATTACTTTTGAAATGAGGTTGTTAGGCTGAAAAGTCCTCTGAACATGAAGTCAGAGCATTGATGATTACAAATTGAAGTGTATGAGAGAAATAACAGCAACAAGTTTGGGCTGAGTACATTTTAAGCTCTGATGGGAAGTGCTATTAACTGGATTAATTTAAATGAAAAAGAATTTTGTATAGAATAAGGACTCCGTTGCATTTTAGATAACCGAATATTTTTGCTCGATTTTGCTTAGTTGATGCTTTACAGCCATTTGGTTATCAATTGTACAGGATGCTGCTCAGGAGATTTGGGTAGCACTGTATTGGGAATCTCTTATTCAGCTACTTTTTAGTTTGGTTGTTTTTTAAAAAAACTGTTTTTCCGCTTTCTCCAGCGCCTTAGAGAGGAGATGGAAGAGATCACTCAGCAGCAGCTTGTGCATGACAAGTACTGCAAAGACCTGATGGGCTTCAGTACAAAACCTCGTCACATCACTCCCTTCACTAGCTTCCAGTCTCTTCAGCCCTCTCAGTCAAATGCTTTGGCTGGTCTTCTGGGGTACAGTGCCCACCAAGGGATCATGGGTTTCACAACTTCACCTGTCCCGGCAAAGTCTACATTGGTAGAAAGTCGATGCTGCAGAGACTTAATGGAAGAGAAGTTTGATCAAGTAAGTGTTTGTTCTTCAACTTGTCTACCAACATTCACAACACTGTTTCTTTTAGAACAATTGTATTCTGTGTCCTTACTTAGCAGGCAGTACTACCTTGTATAGCATTGAGGCATCAAAACTCAATAATTATATGTTTCCTGGCTTTGTCACTGTCTCTCTTAAAACAAGTGATTTTCTTTCTTTGGAATCAGTCTTAATTGTCCTGTTTTCTGATGCACTCTGAAGCCAAATGTCAATAGAATGCGTTAAAGCACCCAGGTAATAAACATTTGTGCATTACTGCCAGTGGCCATCTTTCAAAGCCCAATCTGTCTCCTTTCAGGTGTGCCAGTGGGTTCTCAAGTGCAGAACCAGCAAAAATTCTTTGATCCAGATGACGGTTCTCAATCTGCTACCACGGTTGGCAGCTTTCCGTCCTTCAGCATTCACAGGTGACAAGACAGATTGTTTGATGTTAGAAGTGTTGCTGAAATTGGGCTGGAAGTTATCCAGCTCTCTCTGGTCCAGATGAGCTTGTGCAGGCGATGTATCTGTATAAACCTGGTGTTTGTAAGATGTGCAGACTCCTCTGTGGGAGAACAGGGGTTTTTTTCTGAATAAATGTGACTTGACTTGCTATCTCATGCCAAAATGTTGTTCTGGTGAAGGACATGGATTGAAAACTGTTGTATGAATTCTGTGATCAATACCATAAGAGATAGAACATCCTCTTTGATTTTTTTTTTTAATTCCTCAGTATGTCAGCCTTAGGGTTGAACTTATTTGTGTGTAGGACTTGGCATAGCTCTTTTATTTTGGTGAAACTTTTTTTTTTGGTAGAAAGAGCCTTCTGGGTGAAAAATTTATTATATGGCAGCATGTGTTTACCACTACTCACATCATCAAATTTTATATGGCTATGTCTGTCCCCTAGTCTTATAGTCGTAAAGGTTTAGTTGCAAATATGATGCTACTGTATAAACCTAAAAGAGTTCCAGTATCTGTATTGTTCTCTTTTGTGGGCAGCTGACCAGTATCTTCCAGACACCATGAATCATGTTCTCAGCTGTGTGAAGAAGGAGAAGGAGCGAACAGCAGCATTCCAGGCATTGGGTTTGCTTTCTGTGGCTGTGAGGTCTGAGTTTCAAGCTTACCTGCCAAAAGTCCTTGAAATCATAAAAGCAGCTCTTCCACCAAAAGACTTTGCCCACAAGTAAGTATGTGAAAATTAGTGGAAGAAACTGAAACACCTGTTATTTATATAATTTTTGTGATGCGGGATCAAGTTATTATATTTAAATATGAGGTATTTATGCAAGGCTGGTAACACAGAAGTGGAATGAGGAAAGATGTTTGAAAAATAGCAGCTTCTCCTAATTAGCCTTTATGTGGTCCCTTTTCAGGAGACAGAAGTCTGTACAGGTTGATGCTACCGTCTTCACCTGTATTAGTATGCTGGCACGAGCCATGGGACCCAGTATCCAGCAGGACATCAAAGAGCTTTTGGAACCCATGCTGGCTGTGGGCCTGAGGTAAGTACAAGGCATGGGAGCATATTTTGCTGTTAGCCACTGGATGGCATTGTTGGCCATACAGAATGAGACCTTGAGAGTCTTCAGATTCAGAAGGAAGATTATTGCTTTTAAATGATCTTTTGGAAGATCAGTATAGCTCTTTGAAAAGAAAAATACATTTTAACTGTCCATGTGTCTGTGGAGTTACTTAAAAGCATTGGTCTCTGTGTAAAGAAATCTTTTTTGTAAAACAACTAGTGACTTAAAAAGCAATCTCCTTTACTTTCCACTATTCACACACATTTGGCAACAGCCCACAAAAAATCAGAAAGTCTGAGGGCTAGCAGATTTCTACCATATCAAACTGGCAGAGAAGGAGAACTGAAGGACTGAATATTTACTCCTAGCTTCTTTCACCTTTGGAGCTGATGGTTCCTACTGAAAATTTCCTAGCTCATAAAGCTGTTAGTATGGGAAGATATAGAGAAAGTATCCAGGGTAGCACAAAGCTGTTTAGATTAGATCAGCATTACCATTTGGAAGTGAATTTAGTTGCTTGTGTGTCTAAAAAGCAGAAGTGAAAGGAATCAGTTAGATTTGTAACAATATTCTAGCAGTATTGTTTAATGTGGCAATATGTGCTGCAGCTTGCTTACAAAGTTTGTACAAGTCATCTCTTGCTTGAGTTCCCACAAGGGCCCCTGTGCTCTGCTGGCATGTGTTGCTGTGATGTGTGAATGCCCACAATTATCTTCTCATGGGCAAAAGCATAAACAAAAAGGGTGAAATATGCATCTCATTTTTTTTTATGTTCTAATCACTATCTGCTTGCTTCTTGCCCTCAGCCCTGCTCTAACAGCTGTACTGTATGACTTGAGTCGTCAGATCCCCCAGCTAAAGAAAGATATCCAGGATGGCCTGCTGAAAATGCTCTCCCTTGTTCTAATGCACAAGCCTCTGCGACATCCAGGCATGCCAAAGGGCCTTGCCCATCAGCTTGCTTCCCCTAGCCTCACCAACATCCCAGAGGCCAGTGATGTGGGTAGCATCACCCTTGCCCTTCGTACGCTGGGCAGCTTTGAGTTTGAAGGTAAGATGAAATAAGGAAGCAGAGGTCCAAGGGGTACGGGATATAAGCACTACTGCATTGGAGTAGAGTGCAAGTAGCAGGAAAACTCTGAGAGCACTTTCTTTAAAATCCTGTTCCCTGGTAAGATGAGTAACAGAGGTGTAAACCTGTGTTAAACTCCTCATTTTTTTCTTTCTAGGCCACTCTTTGACTCAGTTTGTTCGGCACTGTGCAGACCACTTTCTGAACAGCGAACACAAGGAGATCCGGATGGAAGCAGCCCGCACTTGCTCTCGCTTGCTCACACCTTCCATCCACTTGATCAGTGGTCATGCCCATGTTGTCAGTCAGACAGCAGTGCAGGTTGTGGCTGATGTTCTCAGCAAACTGCTTGTTGTTGGAATAACCGACCCAGGTTAGTGTGGGCTTCAGAGAAAGAGGTTCTCCTACTACACCTTAATTTTAGCACATGAGCAAGTTTTGTTGTTAAGGTTGTGGTAGAATTTGAATGTATTTGCCACTAACTTAAGCTCTCATTCTTCACAAATCAAAAAGGTCTCCCAATTTCTCTTCTCAGATCTTGGTTTTTGAGGTATCAGTAGAACAGTATTCATGCAAAATGCTCAAACTGTGCCCTTAGTAATCATTTGAACTAGGTAGAGCCCTGAGACCTCTTCTGCTGTTTTGTATCATGGCCTTCAACTTCGTAGTTTGGGAAAAGATTAATCCTTTCTGTTGAATCTTCCTACTTGATTTTTTTGTTTCAGTTGCAATATGGTAACCTGAGATGAGTTCATTTTCTCTGACTGTCTTCAAATATGCCACTTGTACATACAAGAGGTTGGCACTGTACTGGTCTGAGTATGGGGGCAGCACTGAGCAGCACTGAATCTGTTGAGGCTAACACATCCTGTTTCTCATGTGTAAAACACTGATGTAGAGTCTTATGCTGGGGAAGCTCTCAGCATCTCCCTGAGATTGTGAAGAATTTTTGAGGCCAGTTTGTGAAGAAGGGCAATAACATGAACGAGAGTTTACTGCATTTAAAGAGATACAAATGTGTTCTTGCAGACCCCGATATACGTTTCTGTGTGTTGGCTTCCCTGGATGAGCGATTTGATGCTCACCTTGCCCAGGCAGAAAATTTGCAAGCTCTTTTTGTGGCCCTGAATGATCAAGTATTTGAAATCCGAGAGCTGGCCATCTGTACTGTGGGTCGTCTCAGCAGCATGAACCCTGCTTTTGTTATGCCTTTCCTGCGCAAGATGTTAATCCAGGTAATGAAGAGGGATGCCTGCAGTCAAAATAGAGTACTTGGTATTGAGACTAAGATGCTGTTAAAGAATGGGGCAACTTAGGTCTACTGAATGTGTGGGAGAGCAGGGGAATATCTCCCTTTTTGACAATATTTATCACCCAGCTTAGTAGGTTTCAGGAAGTCTTTTTAGTGGTAGATGTTTGGACTGCAGCTCTAAGGATGTATTGGAAAGGAAAGGATAGCAGTCATTATCTCACCCAACATTCATCATACTGAAGTGCTCTCCATCTGTATTCAGGAAGAATGTTCTGTGCTGCTTCTAGGTGAATGGATGGCACCACTTCAGAAACATAGATGGTTTTGGAGCCATCTTCAGTTTTGTGCTAATTAACTTTAGCTTCGTTAAGACATAAGTGACTGGATGGCACGTAAATGTAGAATACTCTTTACAAGGGCTGAAACTGTGGGGTTTTTTTCCTGTTGTCGTTGGACCAGAGAGGAGGAAATTCAAAGAATTTTTGCGTACCTTTATTCTGCCTGTTCTCATGCTTCCATTGTCTCTTTCTGCAGATTCTAACAGAGCTGGAGCACAGCGGTGTTGGCAGGATTAAAGAACAAAGCGCCAGGATGTTGGGTCACCTGGTTTCTAATGCTCCACGCCTCATTCGTCCATATATGGAGCCTATCCTTAAGGTAGAGTCTGTGCATTTCCTGGTGATTTTGGGGTGAGGTGATATAGCAAGTGGATACAGTTCTTTTGCTTCATTGTAGCAGGAAAAAATCAAATTGGTGTGGATGTTACTCACAGTAATACATGTATGCAACAGTGTAGCCTAACTTGATTCTAGATTTGCATGAAGTTTGTGAAATATAAGTTTCATTTATTGTTGAAATGCTCATCATGATGCAAGTTGAGCCCCTGTGGAATCAATTTTGGAAAGGAAAGATAATTTTTGAGTACTGTATGTTCACCAAGGAGTCTTCTAAAGATGTTCACACTTGTTCCTGTTTCACCTACCAGGCATTGATTGTGAAACTGAAAGACCCTGATCCAGATCCAAATCCAGGGGTGATTAACAACGTCTTGGCTACCATAGGGGAGCTTGCACAGGTAGGGATACTGTGGGTACCCCTTTGCTATGCTTGTCAGTTGTTAAGCTTTTGGTGGTCCTAGATGATGGACTTCCATTTTTGTCTTTCAACAGGTCAGTGGGCTGGAGATGAGGAAGTGGGTGGATGAGCTCTTCATTATAATTATGGACATGCTACAGGACTCCTCCCTGCTGGCTAAAAGACAAGTAAGTGTCTGACAACTACATTTAACTTGCCATCTGCTGTGACCAAAGTTGTAATAAAATATTCACGTGTCCCATCATAGCTGCTAAAACAAACCTTTAAATCACCCAAATCTCTCTTGTGGAACATATGGTCGTACTCATGGCACACAGGTGAGGGATTGCAGTGCCTGTCTGTTGTGACATGGTACAGAATTGTTAAAAAAAAAAAAAAAAAAGAAGAAAAAAAAAAAAGCAGCAGTTATTGTTGGAAAGCTTGGACTCACTAAATTGAATGCCTGTTTGAATTGTATCTCTGAGTGAGGGCAGTTATCACAAACAGAGTCTAACAAATTGTTGATTATGACTTTCTTTACTAGTGCTTATTAAAAATACTCTTTATAGAGGCTTTCAAACCATGGACTGTGGTTTGCAGTGTGATCCTAAAATGCTCAAAGAAACTCTACAGGAATTGAACAATTATTGGATCAGGATATGTAATAGATTTCCAGGTCAAAACTAATCTTCTCTGGGCTTGATTTTTTTTTTCCAGGTGGCTCTTTGGACACTGGGTCAGCTTGTGGCCAGCACCGGTTATGTGGTAGAACCTTACAGGAAGTACCCAACTCTACTGGAGGTGCTTCTGAACTTCCTGAAGACTGAGCAGAACCAGGGCACTCGTAGAGAGGTATGAACAGGAAGCTATCACACAACCACTTCTGAAAGTTTTTAGGAGAGAGAGCACTGCCACATAAATGTGTCTGCATAGAATCAGGGGAGGGAGAGAGCTGAAAGATAATTGTTGTGGCTGAAGTACAATAAGCAGACTTAAGAGGCTGAAAGTGTTGAGTCAGAGAAATGGCCTCCAGCAGTTGAATGGAAAGAATTGATGTTTTTTCTAGGCAGTCACTTTAGTTCCAGATCTTCTCTATTTAATCCTTAGGACCTTTGCAGACATATGGGTTTGTATGTTGACTTTGCCTTGATGATGAAGTTCTGATGAATTTTCTTTTTGTTTCTGTCTTATCAGGCTATTCGCGTGTTAGGGTTGCTGGGTGCTTTGGACCCTTACAAACACAAAGTGAACATTGGCATGATTGATCAGTCACGAGATGCTTCAGCTGTCAGCCTCTCAGAGTCCAAATCCAGCCAGGATTCTTGTAAGCATCTGAATTTCTTTAAAGTGTATAGCTTTATAATCTACTAAATGGTCTCGTTTGTTTTTTTTTTAAATTTTGTTGTTGTTTTTTTGTTTTTCTGTTACCAGTTTGTCTCCTCTTCTTAACAAATTATTAATGTATGTGTTTTCACCTAATACTAGGGTGCTTGAAGACCATTTAATATGTCGCTTGTGACACTACTTTCTTTCTCCTAGCGGACTACAGTACCAGTGAAATGTTGGTGAACATGGGAAACCTCCCTCTGGATGAGTTCTATCCAGCTGTCTCTATGGTGGCGCTGATGAGAATTTTCCGAGACCAATCTTTGTCCCAACACCACACTATGGTAGTTCAGGCCATCACCTTTATTTTCAAATCTCTTGGGCTGAAGTGTGTACAGTTTCTGCCCCAGGTCATGCCAACGTTCCTTAATGTAATACGGGTTTGTGATGGTGCCATCCGAGAGGTGAGTGTACGGGACCACTCCTCCTTCCTTCCTGTTCCACTGCCCTATCATAAGAATCCATTTTTTAAAAGAGAATGCGACTGGCTTTGGGCATTGCTGTGCTATGTGTTGCTGCCAAGCATGCTGCAGAAGTGAGTTTCAGCTTTGCTTTTTCCCCTCTTGTGAGCATTTGGTAGAACATGCAGTGGAAACAAGTTTTCTGCTCATTGAAACAGCTGCTGCTGAGCATAATCCTTAGAAGGCCAATATTTGATTCTGGTTTTTTATCAAGGTGGTCTTGTTCAGGAAAACAGCCTGTGCAGCTTCCAGAGCTTTCAGTGATCTCTGCATTAATATGCTGTTGCAAACAGTGTTATTAAATAATAGAGGTAGATCCTTTAAATTTCTGGTGCAACCATGTACTTTGGCTCATCTGTGAGAAAGAAAATTCAATTTGCTACAGTCTGCTAACATTCAGAGCGGCGTGGGTGGTGATTCCACAGCAGTGCTTTCTCTTCCTTCCCACTTAAGTTACAGTTTTAGAAGGAAATGAGAATTGTGTGAAGATAATAATGGGCTTAAGGTTCAATGAACCAGAGATGGCTGCTGTTTGCCAAGCGTTTTCCTCAGGCAGCTGAAAATAATCTCTGGGGTGGGAAAGGCACTTTGTACTAGTTATTGGTGTGGTGTTTTATAGGTGGGATGGGTGCTCCCTTAGCAAAATCCCAACCCTGCTATAGAACTGCTGTTTTCTCCCAGACTGAACTACTACTCAGATTGGAAAGAAAACATCTCACGCGCCTGGGTTGGCCGAGCTCCTAGACCTGACTGATCTAACTTGCTTGAAAGCTATGCAGTTGTGCACACTCTGTTTAAAAATTTTCAGGTAAAAGAAGATGGTGAAAGTGTACTGGGGAGAAGAGCTGAGGTGGGTACGCGTGACACTAAAGCCTAAAGGAGACAGGTCCTTGTCCTGTGTGTAAACATCTTCTCACAACACCAAAAAAAGGCACAGTACAAGAGCTCAGGGTTCATTTTCGGTAAATGTGGGTGTACTGCTTTCACTGAAGTAGCTTTATTTCTTAATTAGCTTTCACAAAAATCTGTTATCTCTCTTTCTGAGCTCTACTTTGTGTTTTGTCACTATAGTCTTCAAATACTGCATGAAGAAATGAAATTATATGATAACTCACACTTTCCTATTTTCTTAGAGGAAAAAAGACTATATACATTTATTTTGTGGACAAAGTGATTTAACACGTATTATTTCATACTGATCTCAAAAGTAAATTCATTGTCATGAGTGAGTGCGTAAGTGTGTATTGGGTCAAAAGGAATTGAAAAACTGCCATAGTATATCTGGCTGAAATTGGCTCAGTCACAATTCTTCTATGGTACAACTAGCCATTTTTCAAAAAAACGTGATGGTTATGGCAAGGACCAAACTCTCTTCCTCAGTAACTTTTCACCAATATATCTTGGTGGGGATGGGGAAGAGTACAGAATAAGTATCTTAAAATGTGTGCCAGTCTGGTTTACAGGCAGGGGGAAAAGATTAGGGGCTAAATTTTTGGAAGCATCCTTCAAACCTAAATTACAAAGCTCTGTAGTTGAGGTGCAAGTCTGTTCTGATGCTTGCAAGTCTGTTCTGATGTTTTATAAATTTGCTGACACATTATAAACTCCTGTTTAAGCGCTTGAGTGTCTAAGGCTTTGAGCTCAATTTTTGATGCAAGTTAAGGAAGGGAACCAACCCGTAACTCAAAACTGCTGCTCCACCCCCCACCCCACATCTCTAAAAACCCAAACCACTGAGGTGAAGCTGCCAAGAATTTAGCCCCAGATTTTGAGCATATAGGAGCTATGCATGCTATTTGTTTGGTAAATGAGCTTGCACTTGGCCTGTGAAGCACTGTTTACCCAGCATTGCTTTGTTTAATTAAGTTACATTGATCACTACACACTTCTTCCTTCCAGTTCCTGTTCCAGCAGCTGGGGATGTTGGTGTCCTTTGTGAGAAGTCATATCCGGCCCTATATGGATGAAATTGTCACCCTGATGAGAGTGAGTACAAACTTTAAGCCAGCATTTTACTGTCAGAAAAAATGGATAGTGTTTCTGTCATTATCAAATGTATTGGTTACTTCATAAATTCATGTGAAGTGCAGAATTCCATGCATTTGAAGTAACTGTATTTTGAAATAACATGTATTTGACAATAGTACACGTTATTACTAGTAACTGCAATAAGAGCAGCTCTAGCTTCGACTAGTGCCTGGGTTCTTTTGATAACTTGGATTTTGTGCACTTATATGTTCAGAAATATAGTTTTAGCAGGAGGTGTTTTGAGTTCATAAATCAGTGGCATTTAACTTCATTTTCACTTACTGTTTGGAAACACTTAGCAAGATTAGGAAAAACCAGTTGCCTGGGGGTTGTTTTTAGCAGCTATAAATACACTGATGGCACGGAGTGTTTTAAAAACAGACCAAAACTGCCAATTTGTATTAGTCCTTCCTTGCAATCTTGAATTTATCTAGAAACTGTTTCCTACAGCTTGCTTTTCTTGTAATTGGTCCAGCGCAGTTGAAGAACTGTTTAACTTTTCAGTTGTTGTTTTTTTTCTTCTGTAGGATTTCTGGGTCATGAACAACTCTATACAGAGCACGATTATCCTTCTTATCGAGCAGATTGTGGTAGCTCTAGGAGGCGAATTCAAACTTTATCTGCCTCAGCTCATTCCTCACATGTTACGGGTCTTCATGCATGACAATAGTCAGAGTCGCATTGTCTCTGTCAAGGTGAGTGGGAAGCTGCAGCATCTGGGTTGATTTGGGTGTTGCCGAGGCAGGTGCATGCCCAATGTGCCATGCTCCAGCAGGGCTTCTTGCTCGTGTTTTAAGCAAATGGATCACTGCAGTTCAGCAGTGGCTTGGTGTGACATAAGGTAGATGTTTAGCTTTAAAGTGCAAGGTTGAAGCAACGTTTCAGTGGATACTGACTTATTTTAAATGCATCTCTTTAATGAATTTGAGTCACATTGGGTCGTTTTTCCCTCCAGCTATTGAATGCGATCCAGCTCTTCGGAGCTAACTTGGATGACTACCTTCATTTGTTACTACCTCCCATTGTAAAGCTGTTTGATGCCCCAGATGTCCCAGTTGTGGCTCGCAAGTAAGTGCTGGTGTCTTTGCAGTCTCTTTTTTAGCCTGTGATATCCAAGGTCTGCAATGGCTGCCCTAGCCACATGTAGAATGAAATACTGGTTAATTCATTCCAGGGGTTTTCTGTGTTTAAATCATTATGGAAGGTTACTTTTGGTTGGATGTCACAGCACTGTTACTTGCTTTTCTTGGGTATAGACGATTAGTTTCTGCTTCTCACCTGTTGGTATTTTAGTCACTGCAACTTGTAAGCTGTCCTGCAAGTACTGGCTGCATTATCAGGGTTCTGGTGACATGTTTTTCCTATTAGTTGATGCTTAGGAGGACTGAGCATGAAACACTTACATATTTTTACATCTCATTTCTCCCATCTTAAGCCATGAGAGATAAGTCTTCCCTTCTTTCTGCTCTGACTTTAGAGCTGCTCTAGAAACAGTGGACCGCTTGACAGAGTCCCTGGATTTCACTGATTATGCTTCACGTATTATTCATCCCATCGTGCGAACACTAGATCAAAGCCCTGAGCTACGAACAACTGCAATGGACACCCTCTCCTCTCTGGTGTTCCAGCTGGGAAAGAAGGTAATACTCTTCTTAAGCTTGAAAGCTCATAGTTGGAGGGACTCTTCCAAAGATCAAGGCTTTAAAATTGAATATTTGTGGTGCACTCATTTTGGATTTCAAAGAAAACAGATTTTTCTTAGCTTAGTTGTTTCTGGAATTGGGAGTTACTGAAATTAAACTTTCAGAACTGGTTTCTGTGGATTGGATTGAATCAGTGAAACAAAGGAGGAATTTTACAGCTCTTGGTGAGAGTGAGTAACTAGCTTTTTATGCATTCCCCTGTACAGTACCAGATTTTTATCCCAATGGTGAACAAAGTTCTGGTGCGACACAGAATTAACCATCAACGCTATGATGTTCTTATCTGCAGAATTGTAAAGGTGAGTTGACAAGTATAGAGCTGTTTGCATAAAGGCACTTTGGAGTTGTTAGCTGGAAACTTCACTTTGCGTTGCTCATAACATGAAGAATGGTTGTTGTATTTGTGTGTTAAATACAGCTTTTTAAGGAGACTTTGAGATTGCACTGGAAAAATTATTGTCAACTGATGTCAGTTATTTCCTATAGAAGAATCACTTAAGTTCTAGTAAGAACTTAGACTTGTAGCCAGTGTCCTTAGTTTTTTCTCTGTAGTTCTTAAATGTGGATTTTTCCATAGTTTCAGACTTACAGAGACCTTGTTAACTCAGTATTTTTTGAAGTATGTCCCACATTGCAAAAACTCAGTAACTGCTTTGCAATTTGGTTAGTGTGGAATGAGCAGCTCACTGCCATTCTAGGCTTACTACTGATAAAGAGTGTTAAGGTTTAGTGTTTTGGTTTTTAATACCAGTAGCTAAGACTTCTTACCAGTTACCTTGAATAGAAAAACTCATTCGAGTTTTTGGTTTAAGGTGTAATCAGTATACCTAAACACGCTTGCTTGCCTCACAAATTTTGCTATGAGATTGGATAGTGTTCTGATTTTATCATTCATTTGGCTTGTAGAAAATTGCTTTTGTATGTGTGGATGCGATCTTCATTGTAAGCCATTTTTTGTAGGGCTATACTCTTGCTGATGAAGAGGAGGATCCTCTGATTTATCAGCACCGAATGTTGAGAAGCAACCAGGGAGAAACTCTGGCCAGTGGTCCTGTGGAAACAGGTCCCATGAAGAAATTGCACGTTAGCACCATCAACCTGCAGAAGGTAAGACTGGAGCACTGTACAGCATGAGTTTGCTACTAAAGGAAGGAGCTATTGTGTCATACCTAAGGAGTTTGTCCAGTGCGTCTAAACTACATGTATTTACATCTCTTTTCTGTTGCCAAGTCGTGCAAAACTGAGGTCAAAATAGTGTAAGAGACTCTTTTTAAAATAAGGTGCTAAGAGAGGGGCAGCTGAATTATCAGACTGTTGATGGCTGTGAAGTAATCTTGACACTCTGGTGTTATGTGAAGTATGAAAGAGACTTCCTAGATCACAAAGAATCATCTGAAGCTTCTAGAGACAGCTGTTTCAGAGTCTCTGTCTTTTTTATCAGCCACTTCTCTTACATTTTAGTGCTATATTCTCTTGATATCAGTATAGACTTAATAGCTAAGTACTTGTTAACGTGAACAGTTAATGCATGTAGCACTCAGTTCAGTAGTGCGATGGATTGGATTCAAAATGCTGGACTTAAAAGTGTAATTCTAAATGCATTAAGTATTTTTAAGCTGATATTTCAACAGTGGCTTCAGTTCTTGATATATTTT